CAAACGCCCAAGCCACAGCCCTCCCGAGCTCCATTTTCGCTGGCTGAGGATTGCCGGAAGCTGTCACAGCTGAAAATGGAGCTCAGGAGCCCATTTTCGTTAGCAGAGTACTCAGGCCACCACAGGCACCCCTGATAAGAGTCACGTCAAGGTGGCCACGGCCACCTTGGCCAGATCAAGCTGGCCATGCCCACCCTGACCAACCCATCCCAGGAAAATCAGCCACAACCCTGATGGGGCCCTCAATGAAATGGAGTTTGACACCTCTGGTCTAGGCTAAACCAATGTTTCTCAACCTTGGAGACTTTAAAGAGATGTGGACTTCAACTCCCAGAATTCTCCAGCCAGCATGCTGAGTACATACAAATGTACTTTTCAAGTAGACAGCTATTTGAAGTTACAACTGGCAAAACATCTTAGGGAGATATTTACTGCGAGCGAGATTCAAAAAAGCTTGACAAAACAGTCAGATACGGTGGATTTCATTCTATACCCTACAATGAGCATCTCTGCATTTGCGGAGGGGCAGAGGGAGAAAACTTTGCTCACATCCTATTGGATAGTTGCTTGTATAAGGGGGTGAGAGACAGGGACCTTGGCCAATACACCAAACGAAGGACCCATTGGGATCATCATATCAAAACAACTTACTTTATCTGCGGCCAGAACCTGAAAATAACATTTAACACAGCACAATCCTTAAAGCAAAATGGTTCGGTTGAGATCTGCATATGTGGGACTGATTGGGGTAGATTGCAGGGGTGACACCGAAATATAATTTTATCATGTTTTATCTATATCTTAAATGATTGTACTCTGTTCAAATTTCATTTTAGGCTGTATTTTATTCCAATTCCATTTTAAATTGTGTTTTCACAAATTCCTTTTTAAATTGCTTTTATCAAATTTTAGTAATAATTTGTTTCTGAAACTTTGCATTTTGATATGGCCCAAGGGCTAATCAATAAAGACTCAAGGTCCAGCCCGCATGCAGAATTCTGGGAGCTGAAGTCCATACATCTTAAAGTCCCTAAAGTTAAGACACATTGGCCTAATCCTAAAATCTGGCTAAACTCATCTCTGCCCCCTTTTTAAAAAGTCACCTCGGCCTTTTCGCGAATTGCTTTCTTCAATCCACTGCACTTTGGGAAGGCCCCTCAATAGCCGGAGAAGGTAAGGGATGAGCGAATCTTTGTGCTGAAAAAACAAAAACAAAAAAGTCACAACAACAACAAGAGAATGCATGTAGGTAAATGTTATCTCGAGACTCGAAGAATGAGGCCAAGCTCAGCTGAAATGCACTGCCCAAATTATCAGAATAATCTGCACCACGTGGCTAATAAGGTTAAGCCGAAAAAGCACAGAGAAAGGTTTCAGGAAAGAAACGACCAACCAATTAGGCCAGTGTTTGCCAACCATAGGAACTTTTAAGATGGGTGAACTTCAACTCCCAGAATTCTCCAGCCAGCAAAGGGAATTCTGGGAGTTGAAGTCCCATGCATCTTAAAACTGCCAAGCTGGAGAAACACTGATTTAAGCGAATTAACGTGGCTAAACAAATTTAGCAAATGTGAGATATTATGGTGTTTTAATAATTTTATTTCAGTATACTGAGTTTGTGGCCAGTGGTCTGGGGAACCCGAGGAAGGAGGGGTTGTAAATCTTTTTTTTAAAGTATTTGTCAATAAAGGGAACGATACCTGCAGGTCAGACTCTATTAGAAAAATTCCCAGTGCAATCACAGCATCTCTGCGGCGCTCGTCCAGCTGAAAAATCCCATGGATATCCACAGGACACATGCACAGAAGTTTTTGGACCTACGGGAGAAAG